CTTTAACCCTAAACTAACCACGATTAATTAGCAAGTAAATAAGCAATAAATAAGAGAGAGGGAGAGAGAGAGTTGGATCGAAATTCGATTTCTATCTGCCTAGACCGGTATTTGGGCCCATTTTGTTCTGATTTCCACCTGTCCTAAATTTCATATGATACAATAACAACAAAGAAACAAGGGCTTAGGCCCGAAAATAACAAAAATACAAAATTTAGAAAATAATAGAGGTTGTTTGGCTTTAACTTCTTCAATTCTTCGATGTCTTAGCTTGTTTCAAACTATTCGCGCACCAAGACCTGTTGGTCGATCTTTGCGTCTAACTAAATCGAATGGAAATAGAATTGGGCCTCCATGGCCCAATAGGAAAATGCGAGGAGGAGATCCAACACGAACTCAGATGGGTTCATACAACAAATAAAAAGACAACATTAACATTCAACATAACAAGAATAAATGAGAGATACTTCAGTCGGGATAAAGTCAATTAATAAATTTAACATCAAACGAAACCAAACTCGGCTATCGATACTAATATAATAAGCAAACTCTTAAGAGAGACAAAAGCAGATAAATTTAATGAATGGAAAAAATTTCAAGTTATAATTTCTCTTTTCTCCTTTACACAAAAGTAGCATGCAAAACATATAGTATAACAAATAAAAGTAAGATTCAATCAAGAGGGGGACATGGATAGGAGATCATATTATGGTGATTGAACCAGGAATCCATGTTAATCATTAGCAAACCAAAAAATGAAAAAAGAAATATGTTTCACTGTTGGCAAATAAAATGTCTCACGCAATAATCAAAACTAACTCTACCAAAGGAACCAAATGTTAATGCCTTATGCATAAAGGCATAAATTTTAAAGACAACAACCAACCAAAATTATTTTAAAGGAGAATAATATCATGTCCAACGAACTAAACACACCGGTTATGCTAAGACATACATCATATTATGAGATCCGAGTTGGAACAAGAATATAATTTTAATGCTTGACATTTTAGACAGTAGTCTACTACAGGTTTCAAGACAAGATTATCAGATTAAGGTATGCGATGGGAAAAACATCGATATAATTTTAGAAGAGAAATCTCGAGCTAAACTTATGCTCTACCAAATAATGACTAACATACTACTTTAAATCAGGGAACAAAGAGTAGAACTAGAATGGGGATGACATGAACCAAATCAATAATATAGAGCCATGCATGTGAAGACAAGACAACCCTTTCATGTTAAAATCAAAACCATCAGCCAGCGAGAAAGATTTGGACAAGTCGAAGAAACATTTAAATACCAAGTACTAAAAAGGTCCCATAATTTCATACCATAAGTTGATATTAAAATAGCAACCAAACATGACGTGAATTGAAATTTCTAGTCTAAACTCGAAAATATGCTAGAGGAGGAAACGAAATAGTTGTTCGGCACTTGAGAACATATAGTCAAAACAAGAAAAATATTTAACAAATGAGATAGAATTAAATCACGACGGTTAGATAATATATAACTAAGCTCGAGACGAACACAACAAAAAATTTCAACTCTAAGAACATGGAAGAACAAATTTAGATATGAAACGATCACATAAACCCATTTGGGATCCTTAACAGAAAATACACCAAACCAATGAAATACATTCAAAATGGACCAAAGGGTGACGAATTGTGTAGCTTGTTGCGGCCAATGAACGGGACGGACGAGCTTGAAAGAGAACCAACTTCCACACCAGAGAAACGACTCCGAAGACTTGGAAGAACAAGATAAATCGAAAGTCAAGATGGAACGAAATGTCTTCAAGAACTTTTGTTTTAAATGTATTTCTTCTTTGTTTTCTTTCAACTTTCCTCACACCAAAATTTTCCTCTCCAAAATTTCCCTCCCACAAAAATCTCTCTGTTTTCTGTCAAGAAAATCCTAAATTAAAAAATATAACTCCGAAATCTTTCTTCCAAGATCGTCTCCCAAGAATCGTTTTTCTCGTTTTTTTAGTCGGCTGCTCCCTCTAAAAAAATACTCTTTGCAGTGAACTACAAGGAACTATATATAGAAGGCAAATTAGGGTTAGATTCTTGGGGAGGACAGGGGGAGAAGAAACGAAACCCAGATTTGAGGCCCATGAATTCAAAATTCGAAATAAAAAATCTTTGCCAATTTGCACACACCACCTTTTCTGAAAATTCAGCTCAATCCCAAAGAAGGAATGGTGTGATTGACGTCTGAGATCGACTTACCTGTCCTTGGAAGGTTGGCGTGGAGAAATCTCGTCGTCTCAAGGACGATTCTCGAGTGCCTCTTCTGCTGCGAGAGTATAGTTGAGAGATATATGAGGAAGACACAGAGGATCAGCGCTCCGCCATGCACACGATGTTGCCTCTAGGATCGTTTGCTCGCTGGGAATTCGATTGTTGCGCGTCGCTATCGCACGCTATTGTCAGGAAGCTCGACAAACATGGCTACTGATGTTAACGCGCTTTTGGGAAGCTGTCGCTGGGATTTTTGGGTTTGGATGCTATGTCTTTCTCGTGACTAAAGGAGAAAGAGATACGATCGGATCGAGAAAAAAAAGATGGGTTGGGGCATTATTTGAAGGATAAAAAAAATTGGGCCTGGGAAATAGGGTTAGCTGAAAATGTTTTATAAAGGCCCCAAAATTTAATCTTTTAAAAGCCAAATGAACTTTGATTAAGTCAAAAGGGAATTCACTAGTGAATTTGATTAAAACTTAGATAAGAAAAATTAATAACTAGTGATAATGCACAAGTACCCCCTCAACCTATGCTAAAAATCTCAGACACACTTATAGTATACTAAGGTCCTATTACCTCCCCTGAACTTATTTTATTAATAATTTTCTATCCCTTTTTGGCCTATGTGGCACTATCTTGTATGTCCAACGCTGGTTGACTTTTTTTTTAAGCTAGTGCCACGTAGGTCGAAAAGGGAATGAAAATTACTTATAAAATAAGTTTAGGGGGATAATAGGACCTTAATATAGTATAATTGTGTCTCTGGAATTTCGGGCATATGTTGAGGGGTACTTGTGCATTTTCCCATCAAACTAATTATATAAAAAACACATTTACTATTTAAAATTATAAAGTTACTAAAATTACTTTAAAATAACTTTAAAACATTTTGAATTTTATAAAGCAAATTATTTAAATCGTTCGAAATCAATGAAAGCACGAAAGTTAACTTTTATGTCTGAGAGAGTCAAAATTGGGTGTCAATATTACTGGTTTCTGATCGAACATTTGTACCCCACTCTACCCGCTTTGCTTCTTAAAACTCTCTTGACAGTGGAATCTAACAAGAAAAACTCCTCTGTTGACCTGTGCAATTTTTTAAATTCCCATTCTTTCTAGATCCTATTAAAATATCCCTCCATGACTGATTGTGGAGTATTAGAGCCTAATACGTAGCATATCATTATTGTATTCCAGTATTCAACTTCTTCCTAGATGTCTTCTAGGGTAATTTTAACATTTGAAATCCCTTTGCTACCGGTCAAGTCAAAACCCTCAGTTGCATCCCCCTTACCCATAATTTTACTCCACGAGCTAGGGTGATAAGTGTGACTCACCTGATATTTTTCCAACATAGCCTCCTCCTCCACCTGATATGCCCAGGAGCTAGGGATTCCCAATACTGGATTTCCCATTTGTGGTGGCATTTTGACCAAATTGAGCAGTGCAATTCCTTATAATACATTGATGCTTTTTGTCTGCCTAGCATCACCTGATTGTAGCACTTTATTTTTACCCATCATATCATTTGTGTCTTCGACTTGGATCTGTGGCCCCCTCCCTGCTTGTTTTTATTTCTTAGCCATTTCAGGTGTTACTGAGAGAAATCGTCATTCCATAGAGAGAAGCTCTATAAGAACTTGTATAGTGTATACTCACACATGCTTCAATATGTTTCTAAATGCATTAAGATGTTGTTTGGTAGAGTATATTAAGAAATATAATTCATGCATTAGGTGTGTGTATTAGTAACACATTGTTTGGTACATTTTTCTTGCCATGTATAACTAATTCTTGCATTAGTTATACACTTTATTGTATATGTATTAAGTTGTATATATTATTAATACCAAGTAACATTTTCTCTTCTTTTCATTTTCATTCTTGCCTTTGTATTTTTATTTGTTTTTCAGTGTCTTTTAATTTGTTGGTGTCTTAATAGACTTAATGGCCTTTTAGTATCTTTAAAAAAAATCATATTTTAACATAGTTTAATCAAATTTTTTACTACTATGGTGATAAATTTGATAACAAGAATTCTTTGCCAACTTTTCACAAAAATATTTCGACTCAAATAGTACAACTATTTAATATTATTTTTGAGAAAAAGAAGAAGAAAAGGTAATGATATTTTAGCAAAGAATTTTTTTTTAATGTTTTAGCAAAAAACTTTGTTGCAAAGGAAGTATGTAAATAAATGAAATGTAAAGGGTATTTGTAAACATATATTTCTAAATAGAAATTATGAAAAATTTGTTATTTATAATATATCAAATTAAACAGTGTATAAGAAATAATGCTTGCATAAATAATGCAAACATTACTAATGCAAGCAGTCAAGCACTACTAACATTACAAAAAAATACTTAAATAGTGGGGGTTAAAATTACATGTTGTGACACTCAATAACCCCCACAATTTAGTGTTACGGCAGTTGGGACAACCCCTACAAATAGGTGTGTCATTTAATAAGCGGGAGTTTTTGACCAACCCCTGGTACCATTAATAGGGGTTATAACCCCAAAAATGTATATTAAAAAAACTGCAGTTCAAGTTCGGGGAGTCAAAACACCAACAATATGTGAACTTTGGGAGTCAAAACCCCCACAAATCATGAATTTTAAATTAAGAATAACAAGAGTTCTAACCCCTGTAATTTATGAACATGTAACCTTTTAGAGCATTACGCTGGAAAAGTTATATTTTAAATATTAATGACTAATTAACATGTACATCATAATCTGACCTAAAAGGGCTTATTAGCATTAAGAAATAACATTTCAACACAAAAAATATATTACAAAGTGTAATATTAGTTTTACAAATTAAACTGAAAAAATATCATTCACTTCAACCATTATGATTACTAGAAACTTCAAATCAGTATAAAAACTATTAGTCAGTAGTCTTGCTTTTATTGATGAAAAGATTCACTACCATCCATACTCAAGAAAAGGTTTGCAACTATTCATAGAACTTCAACGATGTCACTACGACTAGTATCACTAGCATCGCCTGTCTGCAAAGGAAAATACACAATAAGTGATATGATAAATGCTCTCACCCTTCTTTTGTAACCTCTTTTGAATGTCATAAAATGAGTAGGACTGAAACCTAATCCAACGATCATGGTAGTTTATAAAAAGAGACTTACATACTATAGGAGTTATAAAATGCAGCAATTACAGGAATGTGACCTCGATTATGAAATAATGCAAGCTGACACTAAGCATGTGAACAACAATACCAAATTCTCTACTATGAGTTTCAATACAAAATGCCAAAAATAAATAAATAGGTCTATACTAACATACACATTCATATTCCTCTTATAAAGAACGTAGTCAATAATACTTTTATCAAATGGAAGGAGGAGGGAAGTCAGAGTAGCATATGTGCACTTCCACTAAAAATAAATTTTGAGCAACACAATATTATTTAAACAACAATTAGATTACTAGACCCACGACTTGCTTATCATCTCTCCCTCTCAGTGTTTACACATCAGACAAGATTTCTACATGGATCAAGAATACACATCATTGATGTTGGGCTAGTATATTAGCAGTTATAGATTTCTTTTCATGCAATCTGAGAATTAGTATTAGATCGATTTCAAAAGAATGCCACTATGTGATCTCCATAACCAATTAGTGATGAACATACAGAGAGGTAGTGGGATGAGAAAATTACCTCAGGTATTAGAGCGGTGACAAAAAGAGCGGTACGAGTAGGATAGACACAATCATACATGTCAGCACCTAAAGCACTATACAATGTCTAGTGAGTAACCCACCCCTGTAGTACAACAGTCGAGTTATCAGAAGTCAGAAGGCATCACATATAAAACTAGAGAATTTGAAAATAGAGGCATCAAGATATATCTACCAAGGAATATCATAAGAGTGAAACATACCATTACATATCATGGTTTATGCTTAGGTAGTGCAGCAGTACACTGAGCCACGACATGCCAAATGGAGTCTATATCTTCACCGCCTGCTAGACCATCAATAGCATAGCTGTCACACAAGTAAATTCAGTCATTTCATTGTAAAAAGGTAAATGGCCTATGCACAAATAAAAAGTATTTTGGGGAAAAACATTGCCAGCCCCTCCAACACGAGAAGAAGAAGAAGAAAGATGGAGAAGAAAATAAGAAAAAGAATACCTATTGCTTCTATGGTCCAATATTCCGTAGACTCATGTCTAACAACACGCTTCTTGAATAGTTCTTGTTATGATTCGGCCTAATTTAATGAAGTTGATTGTGATTCAGCCTGATTTGAGGAAATTGGTTGTGATGCAGCCTGAGTTGACTGAACCGGCTGTAATGTGGCCTTAACTAAGAAAGACAAACATCTCTTTTGAACCCTCTATCTCAAGTAGAATCAACTCACATGCATTTTATAAGATAATGAAAAAAGTGAGAAAAAATTCTAATTATTTCTGTCTACAGAGAATTATGTACCAATATATGCAGAAATGTACATATATGTAGAAGAATGTAAGTCATAGTACAATTTTTCATCTAGTTAGTTTCCATTTCAAGTCAATAGATTTATTCAGTCATAATGTTTTATATTTTTATGCCAAAATTGTAACATAATGGACACCAACAAGAAGTTTATTTACAGAACAACAATCAGATCCTTAGAGTAGTGTTGGGCAGAACAATAATTGAGAGCGCTTAACATCAGCATCAACAGATGAACTTAATGCCAGGGAATTGTTGTTGAATGACTACTTGTTTCATATATAATTACATTAACCTTATCTAATACAATCTCAGTATCTACTTTGTCTTAAAATTGGACCAAAATATTACTTGCTATTGGATTGATTTAATTAAAGTAAAGTTAGCAAAGAAGACCTTGACCATCACCATCAGAGCACCACAACCTCTAATTTGCATCAACTTGTTGCTTAGAAAATGATTGATTTAAATAGAGTTGGCAAAGAAGAATTCCAAAATGGAAGACCTTGAAAAGTTGACTATCACCATCAGAGACAAACTTCGATTTTCTTGCGCCTACATTACGCCTCTTACCACTTGGAATATAACAACACACCCATAGACTTGATGTCTGGGGAGGGTGGTGTGTACACAACCTAACCCCTACCTTATGAAGGTAGAGAGATTGTTTCTGATAGACCCTCTCTTACCATTAAAAATATGTCACTTAATTTCAAGCTATCTTCAATAAAGAAATTTAAGCAAGTTCATACAATCACGCTTAATTTCTAAGCATAGTATTAAGTCACAAACAAAACTCATCCTTCACCCTAGTCTGCGATTTTATATTTACAGTCTTTTGGTGGTGCAAAATGGATATAGTTGAGGATGTTGAAGCCCCCTTATTGACTGTACTAGAAATTCCCTACAAGTTGAGAATCTGTTGTCACTTCGAACTCTATATGACATCTTCTACACCAACTATGTCGCTATATTTATTATGTATAACATCTACTTATGATTATAGATTACACAAAAAAATGGATATTGACAAGTGATGTATCACTGTATTGATCAATGTTTATACAAGGAAGAAACTTTAAAATCTCTTATTCACAAGTCAGGAGAAAGATCCATTAGAAAAAGTAAAAAGGAATTGAATGTTGTTACTGTTTATAGCTGAGAAAAAGCCCATTGGCAAGATTATTTTCTTGACAAGCCCCTGTTGTTCAACGAAAAATAGTAGCTTGTGGTTGTCCAGACTACTTCTCCTGCATAACCAAAGCAAAACCTACTACTTTTAGTATTTTTCACATCCAAGTACTATATATCACAAAACAAAGAGGAAGATGGGAAAGAAATAAACAAATTGTAGGAACAAGAATACTAGAGATTGAGGACAAGATCAAATTAACAGACTTTTATCTCAAGAAAAAGTAGAGACTATTCCTATCAGAGAAGCACAAGGAAGATGTGAAAATGATAGAAATACTCATAGAAATAAGACTATCCAGTACTTTTGTTTTGAATGGACATACTTTAATCAAGGCGGGCGAGTGATCCCAATGTGATTGGTTATTAACTACACCCTCCATTTCAATATGTTTGTCATATTTCCCTTTTCTAGTTCATTTTTAAAAATTCATCTTGATGTTTTGTTATCATCTTTTACCTTTCAATCTTGTCTTGATTATATTCTTTTGAGTCGATGGTCTAATCAGGAACAATATCTCTACCCAACAAAGGTAGAAATAAGGTTTGCATGCACCCTACCTTCCTAGATCTCACTTGTGGAATTATACCGATATTTTACAAAATGAGATGAACATCAGTTATAAAAGATTCAGATATAAAGAACTAACATAAAATTCCGTACAACTCAATTTATTCACCTTTATGACTCCTCAAATTATTATAGCTCTTATGGCTTTGAAAACAAACTACTTTGGCAACATGCCAAGACACTCAATAACAAGTTTACTACACAACAAACCCAAATTTCTGGTCAAGTCATGAGAAAAAATAAAGCTTAATACACAACACAAGCTTACAAGAAAGAAGGATTAGAACAGACTGTTATAACTCTCTGGAACATACAAGATTATCAGAAAATTGGCTCATAACGAGTATCACCATGTTTAGTAGCAAACGTCCATTTCTAGAAATGTTCAGTACAAATGTATAATTAATTGCCTTTCCATCCAATCACCAACCTTTGATTTGTTCTACCTTTGATGGACAAATTAACTTTATACAATTGAGTGAGTTATAACAGATTACTCCATAGAGAGAGAAAAATTTCTTACTTATCTTTCCGAAGCTTAAAGGCTATTCAATTTAGTTTCACCGAGGCTGAAAGCAGGACACATTAATTTCACTATAATCACAACAAAAAGCAGAACAGAGAAGTAAATTACAAAGCTAAGAATAAATTGCATAACAGGGACAAAAAGCAGTGTAGAGCAGTTAAAGAACTATAGCATGCATAGCTGCCACTTGGACCTCAAAAGAACCAGAAATACAGGAATATACTTGTCTAAGCTCTGTTATGTGGTCAGAGTTACCCGATACCTGTGTTGGTGAAAAATAATGAGCACATGATATAATAGTTGAGATGCACGCAAGCTGACTTGAACAGAGGCATAAAAAACTTACTCCCTCCATGGCATCTAACTTTTGCAACCCATTAAGCATCTCAATTATTCAAGATTCAACCACCAGAGAAGGTTCATCTCGAGAATATATGTTCCAAACCTACTTGTGGTCAAGTCTCTATTGAACATTTCACTATCCATCATCAAAGAACCTTTAAATAAATATAAATTTAGAACCACCAAAACTGTACTACTATACCAATAATTTAAGATTTCGCTTAAAGGCATTGAGCAGAATTGATCGACCTTATAATCACAGTTGTCAATTATCAGATTCAGAAACATTTGTCGTGGACTTCTTCTAAACAGATTTTGTTAGACATTGACATTCGTTCAGTGGTGAACTGTGTAATAATCTGATAACGAATCAACCAAAGACTTGATAGCACTCTTTTTAGGCACAAATATGAACTCATCTCATCAAAGAAAAACATCCATTTGGCTAGAAATCTGTATTTCTGCAAACAATCATTCACAATGAGAAATTTATTGTTATAATAGCCATCAAACCTTTCCTGATCTCTGATATCATGTCGCGTAACATATCCTTTTTCAATCCATGGCTACAATACCTCCATTACTCTTTCGTGCACACCTCCAGCATTATGAATTACAAAATGAGACTTTATGGTGAAACTGTTGGGTTATGGGTCTTTTTTCCCTTCCTATGTGGATAAATAAAAGCCCAATTTGGACCAACCCATTTTTGTCCATAAGCCCATTCATATGAAACAAATATAAGCCTATTTTAGATCTTATTTTCAGATTTTTTAGAGAGAGTTTTTCAGCAGCCAAAAGAGAGAAATTCGCAGTCAAAAATCCAGCCATAACGACCAACTTCAAATTGCGATTCCCGCTTCGTTTCTTGTCCGATTGAGCTGATTTTTGGACAGCATATTATCTTCATCTAAATCTTTGATTAGGAACTGACAGAGTTGGATTTGGTGGTCTTCAACTTCAGTTTTGCTGTCATGAACAGTAGCTGCGAAATTGGTGATTTTGCTCCTGTAATTCTCTAGATTTGGTGCAATCTTATTTTGTTGTTGCTCGTTGTTTGGTACTTTGTTTTGTGGCCAATTTTGGAGTAACAATTATTGTAACTCTTGGTGATTATAGTGGAGCTTTTGGTCCCATG